GCAACTACAGGACCATGTCTTTGTCTATTGTAAATCAGTGTAGCTCCTGGACTACAGTGAAGTTATATTGATTTCCATCAGTTAAGCATTTGGCCCATAGTTATGAGAATCTTTGTCTTACTACCTCATTTTTAGATGGATATATTGAAAAGACATTTTAAATGGGTGCTACTTGACTCTGGATTAAATAATGCTTATTTAATTCAGTGAAATAAATGTGGAAGATGGGGTCATCATCCTTCGGCCCATTCATACATCATATTCTTGAGACTGCGGAAAAACGTTCAATTTTATTACCAACTTTCACTGAAAGCTGATATGAGTTGGGATCCTAACAATCATATGTTTACCTAAAAACCTCCCCTTTTGCCATTATGTGTATTGAATGCATAGGTGTATGTGTGTGTGTGCATATCTGTTAAACTGGTTTATGGAAGCATACTTAAAATCATAAAGGCATAAAGGTAAAATAAAGGCAATTTCAGGTCCTACCAGGAATATTATTTCAGCAGAGTAAATTACAGTAAAACTGCCTAAGATTAAGGTTTGCAGTCACTCAACACAGTTATGACAGAGGCCGCTGGCAGATATGCAAGTAAAGGTGCCATAGGGTCTGGTGTGTGATCCTCACAATTGCATTTCCTGCTATGCCACACATGGATGGCAGGAGGTATGGTTGTAGGATTGAGCATCAGATCCCATTACACCTTACTGCTGGTACAGGGGGAGCCCAGGATCAGGAATCTGGGCTCCTCCTGAACTGGCATTAGCAAGCTTCCATGGCTGGGAGCCCTATCAGCTGATCTGGGCTCCCAGCTGCAAGGGCACACCATACACCCCTATGGCTGGAAGCACCATCAGCATAACTCCCAGTGTTATCTGCTGGGAGCCCCATCAGCAGATAGCTCCCAGCTGCAGGGGTGCATGGTGCATCCCCATGGCTGGGAGCTTTGCTCATGGATCCCCAGCCTGGCCACATGTTTAATTAATGGCATGATAGGAACCAGCCACAAAGTTATTACACATTTTTGTGAGGCTTATGTCTTGTTTTATAATTGCATTGGTGTGTGGCCAGGTCACAACTTAAGATGTGATTAACTGGTTATCACAGTTTAAGTGTAACGTGTGCCAGGGGCTGGAGTAATTTACCTCAGATTTTACTCCATAATAAGTTTCTCTACAGTAAATGAGTACAATTATAGCACCTGGCTACTAAAGTGGTAAGGGAACACATATGTATTGAGCAGATAGCTATCCCAGGAAGAAACTGGCTAGTGGAAACACAACTGGTACATCAGTATACCTAACACCAGTGTATAGTTACTCTTTACTTTCTGAGCAATAACTTTGTCTTGGAGTGGAGTTACATATACTGGTATAAGGTTGTGCATTAGGTGTTTGCTCTGCTTGGAATAAAGTCCATTCACTCTATAGCAAATGTGTTGTGGATCCACCCACACTATGTTTCCTGATTACAAGCAAGCTCAGGAAAAAAAAATCCAAGGTCCGGGGTCCATATTCTAAGGGCCAAGCTGAAGAATTTTATGCTGAAGCCCATGATGAGTTTACCTGAGGCAAGCTCGTCTCTCATATGTATGGATGACACTTGCAGGTAGCTTTGGTGTTGAATGACAAAGCTGAGAAGCAAGTTTAATTAGTATAGCAATGAAATCTCTAAAGCTGCTGAAGTCTTTCCTATGCACACCACTGACAATTTTTTCTTAAAATCACCAATTGTAGATACACACCCAAAGTCAGTACATTTGGGCTTTTTGCAGCAGAGAGTTTTAAAACCCTCTCCGCACAAGCAATAAACATCTCCAAGGTTTTAGAAACATCAAAAAAGAAATAGGTGTTTTGGCCAGGCTAGAAAGCATATTACAGAAATATTCTGCTAATATTTAACTCTTGAGACCATCACATTCAGGAAGACACATTGCTGGAAATTCCATCTTTTCTAGAAAATAATGCCACCAAGACCATCCCACTGGAATGGAGAGAACAAGGGTTTTTAATTTAGGTACTTCCCCAACAGACTGAAGCCTAACATTTGATCTAGACAAAATCCAAAACTGTATTTCCAGATGCACACTATCATGCTTCTATTGCTATAGGCTATGGATATTGCAAACAGTTGTAGCAGGATTATACACAGCAATCACATGATTTATCTCAGATTTATAATATAGGAATAGCACTACAAATCTCTTTATTTTTAGTTGGGGCTGTTGCAACATATGTTCACGAAGTAATTATCCCATAAGCATACAGCTGGAGAATTGGCTGATCACGGGCAACATTCTGTGAGGAAACCTAGAATCAGTTATGCCAGCAGTGGTCTCAGACAAACTATTCAAAGCCTTAGATTTGCTCAAAAGAGTGGGGTCCTGGTAGCTGCTCCTTCATCCTAAGCATTCTTTTAACTGAACTCTAGTTAGGCTATAGGGAATTTTACATTTAGCAGGAAATGCTGTGGTCAGCAAATGCCTAGAAGAATAATATAGATGCCTAAAACATAGTTCTTAAGAAATTTAAGAACCTCAAATTTTCTGTATCTCAAATCCTACTGAGAGACACCTATCAAGAAAGATGTTGGTAACCTGGAGGAAGTTCAGAAAAGAAAAATGAAATGTATCAGGAAGCTGGAGGGACTGATTTATGAAGAAAAGGAATGAAAGTAATAATCTACAGATATTTAAAAGGTGTTAACACTCGAGAAAGAATATTGGCTAAACCGTATTCTGAGATCTGCTGCAATTCCATAACAAAATCTTTATTTCAGTCATTTGTAACTTCTCAAAATTACCAGCTCTGAGAAAGGTTTTTATACCATTTTTATACAGATACTTTGCATTTATTCATTTACAAACCCAATGTGTGTCCCAGAATCTTTTTGCACCAGTTTTCTGTACAGCTCCACAGTTTCTGCTATTATAGTCCTGGGTATTTCCTGCATTTGAAGAGGAATTATACAAATATGCCTTAACAGAGGATTAGAGAAATGGAGTGGAACCAGATTCTCATTTTCTTCCATTTCTTGGCAACTGCTGGCTTAGAGCTTCAGAACTGCAAGTGCACCTGTCCTATCATGATATATTTAAAAATGAAAGAGTTAAGAACTAGGGATAAGGGAAATGTACAATGACTTTCCTTAATCCAGTCAGGTGGTCATAATAGAAAAAAAATCCTGCAACTCTTCACACACTAATACAATCAAATCATAGACACGCCAAGACTATGGCTAAAATGTCCACTTATACTGCTGATATTTTCACTGGATGATTAGGAAAAATAAAGATTAGGAAATAAAATTTCCTGCTTACATAAGGAAACAAAAACCTTCAACTGAAATATTTCTTCAGTACATCTTTACAGTTATGTGGACTTCAGTGACTAAATTAAGATTCATCTTAAGTATGTTATAAATGTACAATCAAAGGCTAAATTAAATAAAAATATTATGTTGCTATTTTGAAACATCAGCTCACAACAGCATTGATCTAAGTTTGCATCACGACAGAAAGTCACTTAATACGATAAACAACAACAAATTCTTTGGTGTGTTTCTCTCATTAAATGGATTTTTTTCCGTTTAGCTACTTATGAAGCTTGGCAAAGTTAGCAGCAGCCTCATTATGTGCAATCATGTCATTTGTTTCATCATGCAAATGTTACAAGCACATTTGCAAGTTTTTCACTGTTATTTGAAAATATTGCTGTTTCATTTTTGCCTTGCTGAATTTTAGTTGCACACTTCAAACTATAACACAGTAAAAGAGATGATGACCTATTTAATCTAATTTACTCTTAGCCACCAGAAATTCCATTGCCTTCATTACTGGCAATAGGCATCTTGATTTCAGAGGATTTGTTAAAAAAATAAGCTCTTCATAAAAATCACTACAGAAATCAAAACTGAATTGGCAGTAGAAATACAGGAAATAATTTTTCAAAGGAAGATCCAAACCTTTTCCATTTTCTTTTTGTGATAAAGAATTCCAAAGTTCGCTACATATTCAGTCAATACTTTTGTATTATCTCATGGGATCACAGAATAGCTCTCTTCCTGAATTATTATTAGGAGTGACTGTACTACAGACAGACTTTGTGTTTTTTTACTACTAAGCCACCCCCAAAAATGCCTTATCATCATTCTGTTTAATATATTACACTAGTCCATCACTGATTTGACTTGTGAATTTTCCATGCTGAATGTGAACAGGAAGCAGCAACATGCTAGAATAGGGAAATTTTCATTAAACAGGCCTATTTCAGCATTGGCTTTATCTCATGAATGTTAATAATACTGTATCTGGTTGTTGAAGTGTGCTGTTTTATTTTCCCATTTCAGTAGCAAACAGAAAACATTTTGAGCTGCCTGGAAAAGGAAAACCTGACAGGTGTCCATGAACAATAAACATCAGCAATGGGAGATTAAGTTTGAAGGAAATCTTTTGCTCACATTGCAATTTAAAAGTTTACACAGTTAGACTCACTTTTCCCTGTATGTAATCTCAAACATATTACTTGCAATGAACAGCTTAATTCTAAACCATACCTTCATGGCTGTCTAGCTCAACTTGGTACTGTTTGAGGTGAAGTTACTACCACCACATCCTATGCCTGTCTTCTCCTTTCATGGGAGAACTTCATGTGCTGTATGGAGTTGGGGGTCCATAAATAGCTTAATTGGCAAAGTTAGAATTAGAATTTAGCCCTTGTGGGGAAAAAAAACAAGCTTATATCTAGAATATTTTCCAATATTCCCTTTGAAAAATAAAGGGGAAAGATAAGGTACAACGCAGTGGAGTTTAACCCAGAACTAGGGCACATGCTCAGTTCTGGCACTAGTTGGCTAACACCAAATTTTGAAGGAGCCACACTTAAAGACAAAGGCACCATGGATTTTGTGGTCTAGTATTTTAACTTTAGTTTAAAATGTGCCTATTGTTGGATTAGTTTTAAATTGTTAACTCCAGCAATTTTGATTTTTTTTCCAGTGGCCTTAAACTTCCAGACACCTGGACAGCAAATGGACTTGCAAAATGGAAAATTTGGGGACAATGGTGGCTGTGGCTATCTTCTAAAACCGGAATTCCTGAGAGACCGTTATTCAAAATTTAATCCACATGGTGTGATAGGGAACCAGAATCCAACTACGCTCTCAATTAAAGTAAGCACGGTTTATTGACAATTTCATTTATAATTTATAAAAATATATTGATTCATTTAATTAGCTCACAAGTATTTATTATTACAACCTATTCATGTTTGAAAAAGTTGTGATATGCTAAACCTGTCAAGCATCCTAGAACGAATATAGTTCCTTGATATCTTAATACCAGTGTCTGTTATCTAGCGTGGTACAGTTTCCAAGTTTTATTTTAATCTTTGTACATAAAAGCACATCTTTCACTTCAAAATGTTAACAATTGCAGGAAAGAACAAATAATTTGCACAAAATTTTATCTAAAATATAAATAAGGCTACTATGGTTGTATGAAACTATGCTTATTCAATTATGTTATTATATAATAAAGATATTTAGGATTTGGAATAGATTTCAAAAGGCAATTTGGATGGGTACTATTTCTTTTATAAACCTCATAGTTGTCCCTTCTTTCCATGTAGGCTCTTCCCCAGCTGCTCTTTTCCCCACAGACTGTCTTCTCTCATTACTTTGCATTTTGTTTTGATTACTGGATATAGGCGAGGAGGAAGATTGCATCCCCTTTCAAAATTTTAGCAGAGGCTGTCAGTAGAATGTAGATGCTAACAGTTGAAAAATAAAGCCTCATAATCTTTTATTATATTTCAGACAATAAAAATATCCTGCAGTCAGTTCAAAAGGGAGACTACTAGCTGCAGTAGTAATGCATGGTCAGCCTCCTCTGTCACCATTCCCAAATCCAGAAGGTCTATGCCAGGTAGCTCTCCTGAACTCACAGTATTGAATGGGAGTAGCAACTTGGCATCACATAAAGAACCAGGGTCAGAAGCAGATTATTAAATTTTCATAAGACACATAAAACAAGGCCAGATGGTGGTCGTAAACTTCAGGGTGAGATGAAAGTGGAGCTGTTCAAGATGTCTGAAGTAATCTAAAGGATATGCACCACTATCAGCCATTGCATAGACAATGTTAGTGTAGACCTCCCTTCACCTGTAATATATAAACATTCTGAAGGGGAAAAAGGCCTAGTGGATTAAACAGGAAAGATGCTTAATTTTAGTTACATAATAAAATTATAATGGTCTCTGTTATAGCTAATAAAAGAATGAGTAGGACAAACATATGAGATTATACAAGCATGGTTGGTATAGGATCGAGCTGTTAGAGTTTTCAGATTTCACTTACATTTTGGGTGCATCTACATGTCGCCATACAGCATTGCCTTTTGGAAGTACTAAAGCACGGCACAGTACAGGTGGTTACTGCATTGTGTGTGCAGCACATGGTTAGATTTCACCACTACGTCACTGTAGCGGCGCGCTGTACCCAGGGAGTGCACCACTATGGCAGCAAAGCTAGCGATCATATCTAGATACACAATTGTTATGTCATTGCAGAGTGCCGTATGGCAACATAGTGAACTGCTACCTTGCCATAGCGTGATGTATAGATGCACCTATTGACATGTTTTCCTTAGTAAACCTTTAGGATATTATATATATTATGATAGCATTACATAAGCTAAAAATATAAAGAAAATGGATGGCAATGCTTTTATCTTTTGATACATTCAAATATAACAGATTAACATTTAAAAAATGTTTATCAATTTTAAATCTTTTGACTGTTTCTTTTTCTGGGTACCAATTTCATTTTTTAAAAACCCTTAGAAATCTGAAATCATCTTAAAAAATAATTTATCCTTTGAACCATCATAAAAGTTTTGAATTATTTACTAGTTAGAAAACTAGTTTCACAGTGAAAAATGTTATTCCTGATCCTACTGTACACCACTTACAGAAAAGCCACATAATTAGCATATCATTGGTTTCATTTCTGTCAAACAAGTACATTGCAGAAATAAAATTAATTAAATAGCAATTGTACAGTAATTACACAATATATGCACCTTGTGCAGATCATACCACCCTAGCAGTGAGCACGTCAAATACATGATATTCATGAATTAAAGATTTTAAGCACATATGCACATCAACTATATTATTTGTTGCTGATGTAGAATTATTGACATAATGAGGTTCAGGGGCACTCTTACCTTGTGGGCCAAGGGCTAGACAAAGGATTGGTGAAGAAAAGGGATGTTTGAGTGTAAAGAGAGCAAAAAAGTACATGCTTAGAGTGTGACAGTGTTGAAAAATGGATAGGAAGGGTAGTAGAGAACCCAAGGTAGCAAGAACAATTCAATAATTCATGCATTGGAGGACTCAAAAAGTGTTAGTAATAAGAAAGGACCAGGCCATTGATAGGAGATGTGGTTAGAGTGAGGGAAATTCAGAGGCAAGCATCAAAGACACAGCAGTTCATGATAAAGAAGAGACTGAATGAATTAACAGGTTGGAGAATGGTGGATTGTAATTTACTGTTGGAAGCCAGAAATTATGACAAAATACATAAGGGGCAAGAGGTACTAGGTTTAATGCGCATCACTTTAGCCCACTGTGTTCCGAAGCTAAATGAGAGACTAAGTTAGAAGACATTTTATTAGATGTAAATTTGAAGGTTTTATAGTAGTGATAAGAGGGAAAGAAAGGTGTGTCACATAAACTAAGAGCGGAGTATGGCAGATTTCATGGGTATAAAAGCTGGAGAAGAAAATCAGAAGGTCATAGTTTATGGAGTGGATGATGCCATTGCAAGATGTGGCACAGGGGTGTAGAGATGAAGGAGGATCAGTAAGCATACTGTGAAGAGTGAGAATATCAAAATGGAGATTAAGGACAGAACACTGTTAGAGAGGAAGTTTCCAGCAAGATAGCTTGGGTAAAAGTGAAAGGCACAGAAAATGAATGAGAGTCAGCATTAACAGTGTGAGGTTACTGTGTGAAGCCTGCAAGGGAGGATGCAGAGCTAGAACATGTCATACTGAGGACTAATCAGGAGTATTGCTGGTGGAGTGGAGCATAAGTGGTGGCAGCTGAATTACTTGCTTCTGAAAGGTTTGAGGTCACAACCCTGCTTGAAAGATAATGCTTAATGTTGTGCTTAAGCTGACATGGGGCTCAGCGTTCCATGGCTGATAGTTTTATGGCAGGAGTGGTTTGATAAGAACCACTTTTTTCAGTTATAACATTTGGTACCAAGATCTGTGATTTAAGGGCCTAATTGGTCAAATTGGCTTGAAATAGTTGGCCTGGTATATTCTGGACATGAATTCCTGACAAATAGAGCACTGCAAGGATTATGAACCTCCCCAAAGCAGCACACATAGAAAGAGAGCAGAGAAAGCAGTGAATTTCTTAAATCCTTTTTTAGGCTTGGTGCCAGATCTTGAGGCATTCTGAGGCAAAACTTCTTTAAATAACTAGATAAGTTACTAAACTAACGAATGAGAGAGGCCTCAGGGTGTCTATATGAGACAAACACTGAGAAAAGCTAACACTCTGCTTTGGAGGAAGAAGACCTAACATAGTTCTTTTTTACCGGCTGACATTGAATTCTGATGCTACTAAAGGATGTTTGTACAACTTCAAGAACCACAGATTTGCTAAGGGTTCCTATGAACAGGATGCCAGGAGGTGACAAAACCCTACAAGGAAATTCACACAGGAGGACTTTGATTTCTCACAAAGAAGTACTTTGATTTCTCTGTTAAACAAAGTAGCAACTTCATATAGCTGGAGCCTGAATAAAACTGGCTTAAAACTCATATTAAGAAAAGGTGGATTTTTAAAAACAATTATTTTGTCGAAGATTAACTTAGTAACGTTTGAAAATCAAATTAGCCAGGGATTGAATTAAGTACAGAGCACTGAAACCTTGGTGAGACTGTAGTTTTTTAGACAGATACACTGCGTGGGACAATTTTTGGATATATAGCTTGCTGAAATTCTGTTTAAATTATTATAATAGATTATATTTTCAAGCCTAAATGAAGTCTTATGTATCATTTTTATTTATGCAGCTTATTAGTGGTTATCAGTTACCACCTAGTAACCTCTCCAGGAGTAATAAAGCTGATCCTATAGTCCAGATAGAAATTCATGGTGTTCCAGAAGATCAAGTGAAACAACAAACTTGTGTTGTAAGAAACAATGGTAAGCGTAAAAATTGTGAATGGTTTCAATAATAATGCATATAAAATAGCATAATATCTTAAGTAATTTCTATGTCCATATAAAAAATGTGCTGTAATTACTAATTGAAAAAGTGGGTACAAGGTAAAAAGACTGGCTTACTGATCAACAAAAATAGTGGCAAAACAAGCGTGCCAATTTATGACCTAACAAGAGGAATATGAGGAAGATGTAACTCAATCTGAAAAAATTAAGGGTAGAATTTTTCAATTTTTAAAAACTTTTTGAAACCGAATGCAGTACTTATGTAAATGGTGATGGCTTATGGACCAAAGAGACAGAAGAACTGTTAAACACACAACAGGTACAGCATGGGCAGCTTCTCCTGTCCTACCTCACCTTTGTGCTTAAAACAGGCCTGTTGTGGAGGGGCCACCTCTACTGCTGAAAGTGTGTAGCTCCTCAGTGCAGAGTTAAACAGCACTAGTGTGGAGTTACATTTGGAAGCCACTGTGGCAATGCGGATGCCAACCTATATCAGCTCCTTGTATAAAGTATTGATACTTGGGAGCTCAAGATAGACAGAATCAGCAAGCAAGAGCACCACAAAATTAAAGTCAGTTGCTGAAGACTTCGTCTGAAGGATATTGTGTGTCATTGTCTTGGTGCAGCAAAGTCAGCTGTCTTTTCACTTACTAAAGCACCTTAGTTAGAAGAGGCATCCCTTGTTACTGTAATATAACATATGGTCCTTAAAGAAGGTTGACATGTGATGATGAGAAACATTTGGAGAAAGCTGGATTTCTATACTTTGGGGAAACAAAATGAACACCACGCCATATACTCCTCCTTATGTACTTCAGAGTTTCTGCACTGAATATCAGTGAAGACGGCTACTGATGTTTGAGTGAGGCAAGTAGCTTTGAAGCTTTGTTGTTTTGTGAGGCTATCAGAATAAAAAGCTTAAGGCAAGGTTTTAGTAATGTATGCCTTTGGTACGCTTGCACCTCATAGTATTGGTGAAGCTGAAAAGGTTTGCAAGAGGCTAAGTATCTACACTGAATTGTGCTTCATTTTTTGCAGGTAAAGCAAAATTCTATTTCTTAAAGGCCATCACCCCTTCTGGCTCCAGAATAACACTTTGAAGTCATGGACCCCATGGCTGTTTTCTAGGAATCCAGTCAACCAATAACTTAAGAGAAGATGAATTGCAGATGCCATTTTATCATGCTGAACACTTTGATCAGTACATTTCTCTCTCTCCTTTCCCACTATCTTATTTATGGCTCATTATGGTTTACTAGTTGAGACAGCCTCTGCCATTTATGTTTCTTCCAGCACTCTATTTCCTTTCATATCAACTGGGAAGCAAACCTGTAGGGGAAAGATAAGAAAAGGGAAGGCTGAAATGAATCTTCCCATCTGTGGAAACAGATCAGGTCAGATTCAGGGAGATTCATCCTGGTTTTCTTGTGTGGAATTACCAGATGATACGAATCAGTGCAACAGCACTGAATATGGATCTTTTTCTTGCCTGTCTCTACAGCAGCCATGCTTATGTACAGGTGTGTTCTAAGGTGGAGGTTGAAACTGACGGACTATATGGAGGAACAAGAATAAATCTGCAGGGTATCCAGGACATAATAGAGCCAAATCTTTTTTTCCTCGTTCCTTCTACCACTTTAATTTTCCAAAGTCTTTTCTTCTCCACAAGTGTGGATGATACCGAAGAAAAGGTTAAGTGACAGTCATTCTTACTGCTCTGGCCCAATAGAGTGTGATATCTCGACCAGCTTAGAAACTTTGCAATCTAGTTCTCACCTTTAGGTGCAGAAGGTAGAGGTCAATTGTTACCATTTATATTTTATCCTGGATCAGTTCTTGTACTTTGCTCAAGTTATTAACGTGTAAGCTTGCTGCTTTAAGTTTTTAATATGTTGTGAGTGGTCCTTCCTATTTGATCTTTCTTCTGTATTCCTCGGGGCTGCCACAATATTGTTCATTTCATCTCTCATTTTAAGACAGGAACATTTTTTTTGCAGGATGGGTTTGCTAGCCTCACCCCTACTAGGTAACTAGCTTTTGTTTGGTTTCTTTTCTTTAATTTGTTCAGCATGGAGGTCCATTCTAGCAGTATTATGTCCACTGACATTGTTTATCTGATCATAGAGGTTTGCAAGCTGCCCATCACAAACAGGTACCAAACAGAATAGGGAACAACTCCTAGAAAGCTGGAACATTGACTTTCAAGAACCTCAAAATGAACAGCACAATGTATTCTCAGACTAAATTATTGCAATGTATTCGGTGTTGAGTATTGATAACGAGCTACCTTTTGACAGTCATTGATTCTTTGGAGTGAGGCAATTAGCTTTGAAGCACTGTTACAAAGGCAGTTGGAATGGTTCTTAAAAAGCTGAAGATTCTCTAGGAAAAGAAACTTTTGTAACAGAAGCAATCCATTCATTAAAACCTTAGGCAACTTAACTGAATAATGTGTTAAGGAAGCATGGAATCTCCCAAATGATCAAGAAAGTCTCCCTTGCAGGAATATAGGAACCTTCTTTATAAAGTAGAGAAGATATGGGTGGTCTTTTCTCTTAGTGGATTACAATATAATGAATCTCAAAACAATAAAATAGAACTTTTAGCAAACCTTGATAATTATATGGCTTTACAGTATTTTGTTTTACCATATTCTCTGAGTCAGGAAGTCACAATACCTTCTGGCTCTCTTCAAAGAGAGGAAGCCAAATGGCTTAGTTCCCTGCTTGTGCTGTTGTAATGAATAGCAAAGGTTTATAAAGAAAGAAGCTTACTCCAGTCACATTCCATCCCTACTCCATGTGTGCATCTACACGAGATGCTAATTGCACAGTAGCCTAATAGTACTGTGAGGCAGTGTATCACAGCACAGACAGTGCTAATATGCTACTGCCCAGTATTATTAGGCTACTGTGCAGTAGCATCACTAAAAAGGCATTCACTGTCATTGTTGCGCTTTAACCAGATGCACATTTTTTTAGTACTTATTTCTACAAGTACTAAATTAAATGTGCAGTAACCACTGTGCATTAATGAATGTGTGGACACAAGCGTTCCCTCTCAGCTGCGCGGTGTGCGTGGACATGCAGGTGCGCCTGCGCGACAGCGCACATCATGCAGCTTAGAGGGAATGCTGGTGGACACATGCCCCATGTGTATCCAGGGGGATGTCTCTGTTGGCTGAAGAGTTCTTTTTTGCTGTTTTTATTTGTGACTCCACATAAAAAACCTTATCTTCCACTGTCCAGGTCACTCAGTTCTGTCACTGAGTTGAGTGAACAAGGATCTTGACAAAAGAGGAAATGCTTAAATCAGTCTGCACTGATAAAAAAAATACAGATAAAATATTAATTACAAGGAATTAAATTACATGTTGACCCCCTTTGTATAGGCAATGGTTTTCATTACATTGTCATCTCTCTTTTTTTCAGCTTTGTGCCCTAGGTGGAATGAAACTTTTACTTTTACTATTCAAGTACCAGAGTTGGCATTAGTACGCTTCTGTGTGGAAGATCAGATATCTTTAGTTTCAAATGAGTTCCTTGGCCAATATACTTTACCACTGCTGAGCATGAACAAAGGTAATATTTCTTTTAAATGGCAAATAAAGCAGAATCTACACTGATAGTTAGGATCCACCTTAAAGTCATCTTAAAATCTATAGTTGCTGACCAATGACAGTGTACACTCTTAAACTCAGTCCCCAGTGGTAGTTAACCAGAATATTTTGCTGAATTTCCAGATAGAGATCAACTCCTTTCCTTATAATCTAGCCTTCCCCTTCCTGTACTATGTTTGGAATTTACCTGGGCATACGAGCCTTAGTACAGGAAATGAAGTGGAATTCTTGTTCATGTTTTCCAGTCCTGCTTCCCACTTTCTTCAACCAACAATCTCTAACTAGCGACAAGCCTAGAAAAAGAGACAAGCAGTCCACAGACTAGTTCTTAGAAGGGCTCTGCCAGGGAACCTGGGGTACAACATAGTGTCATGTTCACAAAATAAGCAGCAAAATGTAGATGGTTTTTGTAGGTTGTACAGTTGTCTTAGTTTAGATGGGAGAAGAGGGTCTTACATAGTTCTGGCTAGTGGAGATGACCTCAGTGACATCTTAAATTGCATTGTATATATTCCCTCCATATAAGATGGAAAAAACCCCTATAAAAATGGAAGAGGCAAGGATTTCTGTGGGACATGTTTTACTGGACCAGTTGCATAGTTGAGGTCAAACAAGCTTTTGAATACAATTTTTCAGATTGTTCTTCATTCTTCTTCTGAAGAATGCATTATATTCAAAAGCTGGTGTAAGTCTTATCTCATCCATGCAGTTGATCTAATAAAAGATATCACCCATAGAAATCCTTACTTCTTGCATATTTCCTAGATCATCACAGCTACAACAGCACTTCAACACTACAAACATGTAAACTTTTACTTGTAACATGTTGTCCTTTGTATACTTATTATATACCATCTTAGTTTTACTCAGAATTATTTTTCTTATAATTCTGGTCTTTGTTATCTACAATCATTATACTGCATGTGAATGCCAACCAACAGGTTAGGAGATGAAGAAAATATTACTTATTGCTATTATATCAACTTCAGTATTCCTCCACTCACATTCTAAGCAGAATCCTCTCAGAAGATATTATAGCTCCACATATTAGAAATCAAGAAAGCAAAAAGACCACTATAAAGGCACTAAACTGACCACTTCCTAACTGACCTGCAACTAAAGGGCAGGAGATTATTAAATGCTATAGCTAAGAACTCATACTAGCACTTTCTGTAATTTTTCAGAGTAGAAAAACATTGAAATAAAATAGGGGAAGTATGAAAGGATAATTATCGGTAATTTTTCCTCTTGTTGTACATCACTTTCATTTCTATTTGAGGAACAGAATTCAGAGAAACAGAATATAGTATGCCAAAAAAAGCGGTGGGGGAGGCTTATGCTTGCTGTTAACTGTATCTGATTTTCAAAGCCACTTTTGACAAAATAAACAGAATCAACTTACTTTGATGAACAAAGGTGTGTAGATTCACCTACCACACTCTGCCACCCTGCAAATATATTTTAATGCTTCAGTAATGCTTTTGGTTTCACTTAATTTTCAAAATAAAATTGACAAGAGCTTTCAAGGCAGGTGCGCAGATAGGCGGCAAACATAAAAACTGAGTGTCGGTTCTCTTGGAGTGAATTTTTTTGGAAATCTTTTCCTAGAGAAAATTTCACATTTTTAAACTTTTTTGTTTGGGATGGAGGGAAAAAATCAATTCTCCCTCCAAGTTCTATTTTCTAGCTACTTCTGTCCCAAAATTGAGAACCATTGTCATTGCAATATTCTTAAAAAAAGCATCTCAGTGGTTCTCAGCTGTCTTTCTGGAAAATAAATTAAAAATAAACATGATAGAATTTTCAACCATGCTGAAGTAGCTTAAATGCCCCCCTTGAAAGTAAGTGTCCAAGTCCTCTCTTTCAGTACCTGAATATGGGGGTCACTCCTTTCTGTCAAACCATAGCAGGAAGATGCAGTGACAACAGTAATGGTGCCACCACTGCCCCATCCTTCCTGAAGAAATGGAAACCCATATTGCCTTCCTCACAGCAGTGTTCCCCTACACCCCTCCTACTGACACTGTTCTACTTCACATAGAATAATTAAACTGTCATTGGGTGAGACACAGGGAGAGAAAGTAGACATGACTCCTTTACCCACAGGTTAGGATGCTTAGTTGGGAGAGAGCCTAGTTTCCAGTCCTAGCTCCTATGACTACTTAATGCATACATCTACACATGCATTTACTCCAGTCCAAATTTAATCTGGTGCAAACTACTCCAGAGTAAGGGGTTTTGGGCAGGCGTCTACACATGAGAGGATTAGGGAGAAGATTTGCACCCAGTTTCCTTCAGTCTTGCAATGGGCCCCTGACAGCACCAGAAGGAGCTGCAGGCAGCACCGGGCCAGGAGAGAGCTGTCTCCTGATCCCAGCTCCCTGATCAGGGGCATGGGGCTTGGAAAGAGCTGAAGGGGAGGGGTAGGTCTCAGGCCCCTGCTCCTATCTACCAGTGGGGCAGCTAGCAGGTAGCTCACTCCTAGCTGCCTCACCAGTGGATCAGGGCAGGGGGTTGGGACTTACCCCACCCCTTCAGCTCTTCCCAAGCCCTGTATCTTGATCACCCAATTGGGGCATGGGGCTGGGACTTGCCCCTGACTGGGACAGTTCCTGGTCAGCTCTGGCCTGGATGGGGAAGTCTGCATGTGCAGCGCAGGGCTAGCTGGAGACTGTCTGAAACAGGACAGTCCCCAGCCACCATCAGGCTGCACATGCTTCCCCATGCAGCCTGAGGCTGGCTGGGAATTGTCTCAATCAGGGGCAGCCTCCAGCCAGGCTGGAGGGGAACTGTCCCCATTCAGGGAGCTCCCAGGCCCTGCTCTGTGATCACAACTGTGATCATGGAGTTGGGGCTGGAGAGCTTGTTTCTAGTCCCCACTCCATGATCACAGAGCAAGGCCTGGGAACAAGCTCCCAGCCCCAGCTCCTAATCTGTGAATCTGTAGGGTTTTGGCACTGATTTGCTGAGCCTTCTCTAGACCTGAGACCCTGGCAGGGCATCCATAGAACCACCACTTTAGATGCCTAATGAACTTTAATGTTGAAAAATGAGGAAAATTTTGGTTTCCTTTATTTAAAAGATTTATTTATATAATTATAAATTATGCTTCATGATTATGGTAAATTCTACAAGCTCTGATACAGGAATCTCCATATTTGTGTTTACTATATTAATGGAATATTATTACATTTGCAGGTTATCGTCATGTTCCTCTGTATTCTAAACTTGGTGACAGACTTGACCCTGCATCACTTTTTGTGTACATTTGGTACTATTAAGGATTGTACTAGCAGTATCCTGAATCAGCACACCTCGTAATAAAGCAACCGGCATGTAGCTTGCAACCATCAATTTGCTAACTAAGTGGCTTGCTTTTCAGAGATGCTGGGCATCTGTAATTCTTACTTATGTCAGCAAGACTACTTGTGATAGTAGATTTCATAGATTCATAGATTTCATAGACATTAGGGCTGAAAGGGACCTCGGAAGATCATCGGATCCAGCCCCCTGCCCCAGGGGCAGGAAGTCAGCTGGGATCAAAGGATCCCAGCAAGATAAATGTCCAAATGTCTCTTAAAGGAGTCCAAAGTAGGTACTTCCACCACCTCTGGCAGCAGTCTGTTCCAGGACTTGGCAGTTTGGATAGTAAAGAAGTTCTGTCTTATGTCCAGCCTGAAACAGTCTTGGAGGAGCTTGTGAGGAGGAATAGTAAATGCTATTCAGAAGAAGTAAGGCCTACTGAATTAGGCCCCAAAATAATAAGTCCCACAGGGATTGATTTTTTCAGTACATTTTCTCAAACCACAACTAAAAATGTGATTATTTGCAACAGCAGAGAAGCAACTTAAGGCCATGGACACAAGTTCATTTGTAGTGCTACAGAAATAAAGCACTGAAGAGGTCTGTCCACATGCACAGCTCCCTGGCTGAAGTGCTACACAGTCTCTGTGAGATGCAGTCTCTAGCTAGAGAGAGAGGGCTTCCCCTTGGCTCCTCCTGCCCTGGGAAGCCTGTCAGTAAGCCCAGCCACTAATGGCTTGTCTCAGAGAAACTGAGGGGGAGAACTGTCAGTGATCTGCCGGCAGCTGCTGCTTCAGTTTGCTGCTCCCAAACATGCAGCAGCAGGAGTCAAAGCTAGTCTCCCACCCCCCAGGCTGTGTTTGACAGCTTCCTCCAATTTCTGGCAAGGGAGTGGATGGGATACAGATAAAAGTCTGGGCTGCCTCCCCATTGTGGGGGCATTCCTCATAGAATCCAGTTGCCTCCAGCTTTGCAAAGGCAGTCATCTATGTTGGGTCACCTAGAAGCAGTGCTGCCAGAAAGGGCTGGAGCTGAAGGGGCAGCTGCATCAGCTGTGGATGCCCCTGTGGAGGCAGCCTTTTTCTGCAGCCACCCCACATGGCAATGGCATCAGCTTTTAGGGCTACCTCCCCTTGAAGCCAGCCCACTGCAGCAGTCTTTTCTGCCACTGCCGCTGTGAGGACAGCAGTACCAGTCCCAGCAGGGCTCTGTGGCAGCTTACTGGGGCTGGGTGAACTGTCAGGGAGTCAGCCACTCTGCTTCCCTTCCTCTGAGAGACCCCCTTATAGTGCTAAATAACATACTAAATAATAGGAAGGTAATAATGGTATAAGTCATCCAAAATCATTAGCAAGACATAATCATTTTTTCTATTTGCAATAATGAAATGTGTACATTTGATCATTCAAGAAAAAAAGAGAAATCAGGAAAACTACACACACACAACTTAATCTTTAAATCTGTAATAAGAACAGCTTCAGCTAGAGATAGACCTCATCACAACCCATTGTACTATTTATGCAAGTGCAAGAGAACTACTTAGAAATGTTGCACTTAGAAGAAAACAAGATTTAAAATGAGTAAACCCCCCAAATACTATTGCCTGTAATTTCTCTCAACATAGCTCTCATTTTCCCATAAAGACAAACTATTTTCTCACCTTCCTCAAAATTACTTTGTGGGATGAAACCCATGTGGACACTGGTGTCTTCCTGCACAGAACTCACTGCAAATGCTATCTTTTCAAAGCACTTTACAATGGCAGATATCTTCTTTATGATACCTAATGTAAATTATTATTTTTGTAGGTAAATCTGAGTTTCACTGTCTTTTTAATACTACTTTATTATGATATCCTTTATATATAAAAATTATTTTTATATGGAAGATGATATTCTTCTATATGTACTATGGGCAACAATTTAAAAAATGTCACAGGAAATAACACTATCGAAAATTTGCCAGCATTTATTTACATTGAAGGCAAAGTAAGGGCTTAAGACAGTAAGCTGAGCAGAATCTGAAATCAATTCTGAACCTTAGGGTCAGGAATTTGATAACAACTAAAAGCTACATGAGATGCATCTTCTGTATTTCAGAAAGGGCAATCACTTGCTTTTTTAGCCGAGAAAACCTATAGTCTAAAATGTTTGGTCTTGTTGATCATTGCACTGCGTATATCTGTATGGTAACCAGTATGCTTTTGGTGTGGTAAATGTTTTAAAGCTTTTCTTCAGCAGTGTGGAATTAGTTCGACTCAAGCAGGTTCTCTCTTATTGCTGACAAGGAATTTAATTTCCCCAGGCAACATGGTGGCTCTGTTCCAAGAGTTGACCAAGGCAACTGACATGACCAATCTGTTTGGTGCTAAGAACAACTCTGTCTTATACTGGATTCACTTTGTACGTTTAAATGACATGTAGCCTGCAACAACAAAACTACAGCTCAAGCCTTACTTGCGAGTCTTAAATCTACTGTTGTTTGTGTAGAGAAAAGCAATTTCCTTCAGCTTTAGACTTTGTCCCCCACTGTCAGCCACTTTTCCAGCTGGCATGATAAATCTCAACCCTATCCAATATATATTAAATTTAATCTTGAAACCAATCATGTGAATCAATATACTTCCTTTGTTATAACCATGTATTACAAGTCTTGAAAAGATTTATATTCATGCTAAACGAAGCTCATATTATGCATATGAGGGTCATATATACTGTTGCCTTTAGTAGACTCAGTGAATTCATTGTGGCTACTCCCATGCTTAAATTTAAAGATATGGGCAAAAAAAAGCTTGAAGGATGGAGCTCACTATTAAGCTGTTGAACTCAATGGAATTACTTGTATGCTAGAAAGGATATGTTTAAGTTTCTACAGAACTGGGGCTTGTCTGTGCATTGTTTCATTTTCCTGATACAGCATAAGCTTGTAATGAAAGAATACTAATAAACAAAGACTTTCTATAACTTGGTCTTCTAATAAATAATTGTTACGCTGAAAAGTTAAATTGTCTTATTTCATTTATGTACTTTGTGATAATTAAAACATTGATTTTTGGAAAATGCTTCAGATTCTATAGGGAATACAGGATTTAAATACTGCTTAAAGTCTTGTTAGGAAGATTTATTAAGTTATCAAAAGGATAAAATTGCTAGAGTAAGCAAGTGAAATGAAATATCTTGTTTCCAGTGAGCATCGTAAGTCTACAAGTTGCAGTACATGTCAGCAAGTTATAACATACAAATACATGGCACACACTGTATTTTAATTTTTTTTCCAGATCTGCAGTTAACAATATTTTAAGTGTGAAATATGTTAGAAGTTTGAAATATCCTGACTTCTGAGTTCCAGTTCCTTCATGGTCTCTCATGTTGCTTTGTTAAATGAACCATATATGGTGGCAAACATCAATTGTCTTGGATCATGGTGTATGCATGAGGGCCACCCAGACCTTTGATGCATATGCCCAGACAAGATTATTTTTTGGAGGAGTGGAGGCTGCCCAGACCTAGCATGCTTCTTTTAGGCCACCGAGACAGAAACAAAAGACCAGCCTGAGTCCAGATGTTTGGTGCCTCCATGGCTGCAGCTGTATAAGTATCCAGGAATTGAACTCAGATCTCCTAGGCAATAGATAAGGAGTCTACCACCGAGCCACAAGGGACTCCTAAATAAGCCATATATATCAATGCCATAACTCTGCCGTTATTAAAGTAACCGCAACAAGAATGAACTCAGATCAAAAAGTTTACTGTTGGCTTAATCCTAAGTCTATTAAACTCAGTGGGAGATTGCCATTGACTTAAGTTGGCTTTGGATCAAGTTCCAGCCATGTTTTGATTTTACTTTTTATACAAAACACATCTAGCAGTATATGACCAACAGTGTTTAGTAGGAACAAAAATCTTACTTGTTGCCATAGAAAATGTTGCCCCAGGTAACTGCAACTGAATGCTGCAAGATACTGGCACATGCCTTCTTATACCCATGCTAATGGAAACTTGTTTCAAGTAGAGGATGGCAAATATATGGAGAGAGTTGAATGGCAATGGGCCATGAAAAAGTGGTTATACTTTCCTTGGGATTAGTAACTTAATGTATGTGGTTAGTGGCCTACTGTACATTATATTCTCAAAGGCAAATATGTCAGCTAATATAACAATATTGCCCATAAGAACAGATAAAGAAATATTAATGAATAAATAATGTAATTGTCCAAGGCAATGTTCAAATTATACTGTTCCCCAATGGGTACCACTTTTCTTCATTTAACTGGACACTGTTCAGTTGAATGTTAATAGCTCCCAGAAATGTTCCTTTGCTTTTCACAACAAGCTTTAGCACACGTCCTTGGAGTTCTGTTACAGCATCATATACAACCTGCAATCATATAGAGTAAAACAGAAAAAAATACAAAAAATTAATATTTTAGATAGCTCAAACCATTTATTTGTATATATTACTTATATTAAAAAACCCCATCAAAACTCTAGGTTTGATTTAAACTGCCATTGTGAGTCTCAAATGACAAACTATGAACCAAATGCACCAAAGTCAACAAAGTTAGACTAGAAACAAATTTGGCCTTAAACATATTTGAAGTAAAAGAGCTTCTGCTAGCTTAGGCTACTAAACTTGAGCAACTGAGCATCTGCCAGGAAGTTTAAAACCTGGACTTTTAATCCACCATGAATTCTCAGAGAAAAAAAAAAACAAGCATGCAATCTGCTCTCTGCAAAAACAAAACAAAACAAAACAAAACAAAAACAAACAAACAAACAAACAAAAAAAACCCCATACTGCAAGCAGCATTTTGACTCTAAGCAGGGAGAAATACCAGAGATTTCTTAAAGCCCAAAGACGTTTGCTATTGCTATTGTTTTTTTACAAAAGGCACTTGGATAACAAAGGCTATAAACTGTTGCTGTTCTTCAGCTGGGATCATCTGTCCCAGGATTTGTCCCAGAAGAGTCCCACTTCATTGGGCAACACAGACATCACCCGTTGTTTGGTAGAGCCAGGCCCCTGCTACTTCTGGGGCTTCTTAGTTCTGATCCTGTGAGACAACTGTGAATGGGGGAACCAACTCAGGGTGTACCTCTGCAAATGGGCGAACCCTGGGATGCACCCTGAGTAGGGGCATGGCAACCTAATAGATACACCTGGGGAGTCCCTTGCTGCAGTTCCCCCATTTGCAGATGCGTGTCACAAGTAGGGGTTTGCAGTGTGATATGCTCGGGGAATCTCCTACTAGGAGGATTCTCAGGGGGAGTCCCAGGGTGCACCTTTGTAAGCAGGGGAACCCAGGCAGGCACTCCCAGGACTTCAGCAGCCTGATCCTATCAGGAATTCCCCTGCAGGACAGCGCTGCTCATGGTGGCTGGAGAGTGCAGGCATCTCTGGGCTGCCCACACTCTCCCAACAGAAAGAAAACAAATGTCCACTGTAAAAAAAGTGGTACAGATTTATACCACCTATTGTTGCAGCCACAATTTGGGCATTTCTGGTGTGACAAGAGACTTTGCCATCTGTTTGTTTAGGTTTTGAGCCACCATAAAAGTTTTTATGGTAGCAAAAAGCTGATGTCTATTTTCAGATGAAGTGATGGGTTGCGCAGTATAAAATCCTAACATAGACAGACAGATGATTTGAGAAAAATATACAAGTTGTTGTTTTAACAACCATAAAACTACTTGGAAAGATGATGTTATTCTTACATCAAAATTAAGAGGAGCTGTTTCTGTTTTGTTTCATATGCATTTAGTATATACAATATGTGCATTGCAATGTTTCAGTGTAACTTATATTATCATCATATAAATCCTGTGGGCACATCATGCAGTCACACAGTAGCTCAGAATTTTATCTCAGTGTTTTAATGTGTTTATTTCCAATTAAACCTTGAAATAAAGAAGGACTTTTCTTAACCCCCCCAACTATATTTTCTTTTCATCAGTATTTCTAAAAGATTTCAAACTGTTCAAGGCTAAAGAAATACACCAAAGAGAAATGGAAATTCTACTTTGAAAATTGCTGGCCTTGCTTGTATAAATGCTATTTGTGGGGTGCAAAGATGTTTAGGGAGTAAATCTGGAATCTTCTTGCTACCAGGGTGTAGACATATGAGCACCTGGAACCCATTCAAAAGAGAAACATTTGAAAAGGGCAGCAGTTGGTAAAGTTTAATTCTTATGGGTGAACAAAATGACAATGATTCAGATGCAGCAAAACTGCTCCAACTTTAACACTCTTCCATCCAGGGTTAAAGTTGGAGTGATTTTGCTGCTTCATTCTCTGCTTGTTCACACATGACAATTAAAATTTACCAGCTGCTGCCCTTTTCAAACATTCCTTCTTGGAAAGGGCTCCAAGCTTTTGTGTGTCCACACACTTAGTGTCCAAATGTGAACTCTATAAGTAATATATGTACTTAAATGGTATCATCACTAACACGTTCAATACAAGGGACTTAGCCAGCCCAGTAAAAACTATGGATGTGATAGAGTCAGAGGACTGGGGTCAATATGAGGTAAACAGAACTCAAAAGTTAGCAGGTATTATCAGTATTAGGATGTTCTTCTGTTCAGTGAGAAAGCTTAGTGAACAACCCTTTAGAAAATTACAAAGAATAACAGTTTAAAACCTATTCTTGATACTATGGATATGTACATTCACCACACCTGGTCTATAGCTTTAAGCTTCATAATCGTAGATCAGGACTGGCATGTGCAAATGTTCATCGGTGCTGAAAACTCTGCTGAGAACCTGGTGTAAGAAACTTGGTGGGGGGAGGGGAGGATGGGCAGGATTGTCAGGGAGGGCTAGCAGGTCCATGGGGGAGTTTGCAGGATTGGGGATGGGGGAAGAGTGCAACACTGGTGGTGAAGCAAGCAGCTAGGATGTACCAACCTAGGAAGCTGCGCTCTGAACATGTGCAGTCTTTTGACAGATCAGGCTAAACTGTTCCCAATCTAAGTTAGTTTACCTACTGAGGTGAACTGCTTCATATTGTGCCTACCGTTTTTGGCCTGATTTAATCCCCCCCCCAAATATCTGCACAGATGGACATTTAGACAAACATAACTATGCGCATACCCTATATGAACACACTAAGGTTAATTATGGAATATGAACATTGCATTCTTGGATTAAAAAACTGGAGAATGCAATAGGTCTTTTGCTCCTGAGCACACCACTTGAACGTATACCTGGAAGCAAAAAACTCTGGATCATATTCATGCACAGCATGTGGAACCCAGTTGGAGCAGCCTGACCCCAGGTAAGGCTGCTGGGGCAGCACAATTGCTGCCCCCAACATCTCCTACCCCACCCAGGGCAACCTGCTGCATGCCAGAGTGTGTGAGGCTTTCCCCAGGGACAAGTAACAGCGGCACAAAGTGTGCCACTGTTTTTGTCCCCAGGTAAATACACATTCCTGCTCATGGGGACACAACCCTGAGCTCCACGAAGAGTCACCAAACAAATGTTTTAAAGGGGCAATAATGCTTTACGCTCCATTCATTTTCATTTTTATCGGGTGGAAGTTTCATAGCACTGCTGTTGGGAAGTCTGAATTCTTTAGGCTTAATTCTGTTTGTTGCATTCGTCTTACTTGCTTCTTGCAACTGTTTTCACAGACAAAGAGAATCTTTGGACTTCCTGAATGATGCTGGCTTATTCCTCTTCATCTGTCACCACATCAGTAATTCTCTTTCTCTGACCATGCGTCTCTTTTTCTCCATTCTCTTTCTCCTTATCTTGTTTACACTCCTCCTCATCTCTTCTTAATGCATTCCTCTAAATCAAGATTACATTTTTTTCAATGCAATAAACTCCAAAATCCAACAGGAGTAGCAAAAATATATCCACATTAGAGGCATCTCCAAAAGAGACAGTGTTAGTGTCACTTTCCTAGACTTTCAGTGAAAGACTTCCTAGACTTTCAGTGATGAGGCTGCATCACAGCCTCATACATGCAGAAAAAAGAAAACAAAAATGAGTTTTTTTATAATGCATATAATTTGCTACAGGCAGTTACACAAAACCAAATTGCAAAACTAAAACCAAAAATACCATAGAGAGGAATATTTAAAAAAGATTTCAAACTCCAAGAGAGTGAAAAATTAAATATACAATTGACTTTTGGGTTTTTGTCTTAAATAAAAGCCTATGAACTCAAAAAAAATGTAGTACATTTCTTGATGCAGCCTTTTGGACTGTAACTAGTTTAAAAGAAATCTGATTAATGTTTTTAGTTGTTCTTTTTGATACCCAGGGGCTCACAACTTCTGCATCAGTCCCATAATTGCATGCATGAAAAATGCATGCCGAATAGCATCACATGCAGTAGAATAACCATAACGGCTGTTAAATAGTGTTAAGATCATCAGGTATGAAACACTCAGGTATGAAGTCGTCAGGTATGAAACACTGGGAGCTGCTGTTGCTGGGGAGTGGGGACAATGCCCCCCTGCCCTGGTAGGAGGGAGCTCCCAGCCCCCATTTCATGACCATGGGGACAGGACTGGGAGATCTTTATCTCCTAGCCTGAGCCCCATGGTTGTGGGGCCCAGGCTGGTAGATCCTTCTCTACCAGCGCAGCTCCACGACTATGGGGCTTGGACTGGAAGATGAAGATCTCCCAGCTCCAGCTCCACAACCGCAGAGTTGGCACTGGGAGAGAAGGATTTCCTAATCCCCACTCCCTGATCTCAGAGCCCTTGCTCCCCAGGTGACAGGGGCTGGAGACCCTGTTCCCTGCCCAGCTCTGTGATCGTGGAGGCTCTCCAGATCAGGGTCTGGGAACTGTCCCAGTCAGGGGCAGGTCCCAGCCCTATGCTCTAACTAAGCGATCGAGGTGCAGGGCTTGTAAAGAGGTGCAGGGCCCCAGCACAGGCAGACCTCTGGGGGCAGGGAACAATCTCCCAGCCCCTGCCAGGAGACAGCTGTCTGCCGGCCCTATGCTGTCTGCCAGTCCCTGGACTCCCTGCCTCTGGAGCTCCCCCTGGCTGCTGTAGGGGGTTGGTGAAGGGCCAGCAGAGGTGGGGGGCAGATTGCTGCCACGAGCAGAAAATCTGTTCCCAAGACCCTGCATGTGTAGAGTCCTACCCAGAAGCATTTACTTGCAAGTAGTTTACTCATGAGTAAACAGCTCCCAGATCAAATGCACGTGTAGACACACTCAGAGTCTACGAAACTACATGTCTTCAGTGAAGCCATCTAAACTTGTGAAGTAGATGTTGTAGCATCAAGTAGCATGTGTGTGGGGGTTAAAATCCAGAGAATGCTTAGAGTATGTTAACATTTCTATGGCACTTTTCATAAGAGGAAAAGGTTTCTCATCTGTCCTAGGCCAAAATTAATTTCCCTCCCAGGTTGCTTGTCACTCTCCATCACAAAAGTGGAAAATTTCATGATGAAGGCTATACAGGCGACCCTTGCCATTCAAGGGGGATATGGTCTTGTATCCCCGCGAATGGTGAAATCCATGAATAAGGCACTGTGTTCATGAACACAGTCTGCGTTCATGAATGCAGTGCTCCCGGCAGTTGGGGGTACACACACACGGCTCTGGTGGCGATGGCAGGAGCACAGCAGCGGTGGTGGAAGCCCGGTGGCGGCAATGGAAGCCCAGCAGTGGCAGCGGAAGCCCAGCAGCAGCAAGTGCAGAGCTCCCAAGGAGCTCCTGTAAGTGTATAAATTGTATTTAAAATGCAGGTTTCGGCATTTGCGAATAATTGAAACCGCGAATGCTGAATTGGCGAATAGCGAGGGTTTCCTGTATATAAATATAAGGCATTTTTAATATATAGGAAGTGCTTTTCTCACAGATCAACCTAAGGTAACCCTATTTCATTCTGACTTTAATAGCAAAAGCTGATAGAACACATTGGATAAGTAAAGTCCATTTCCATTTAATTTGACTGGTGGTGACACAGGGAGGCAAAGGATCAACTTCTACCAGCTTCAGCTATTAGTGTAAATGTCATCTGCTTACAGCCTGCACTGAAAGTATACAGTAGAACTAAATATGTCCAACAATCAATTTTATATGAAATAAGAATACTGTCTAGAAATACAGGACTAGGGGAAAAAAGACATGGATTCTAATCCCAGATGATTAACTTGATGTGTTCCCTAAAACCTATTCCTGTCTTACATTTACCTACTGTATAAGTAGGTATGTCTTCTTTCCTCCCTACCTATTCCTCTGAGTAGCTGTACTGCTGCTGCTTTTTGCCTCCAAGTTGCCTGTACTTCTATGGTAAATGAAGTATTATATGCAGGTCTATAACATCAACACTTTGGCATAAAAAGAGAGGCATTTGTTATTTCTGCTATTATTTAACAAAGTAGAAAGCTAGTTCAGTTGTCTATTTTATATATACAAGATAGAATTAATATATTAATTCATTTTGTATTTTATGTTATGGCATGAATGTGAATAAAGAGTTAAGCTTACTTTTAGCGCAATGGATGTTCAGGTTTAGTGCTCTAATTTGGAATTATAATCACAGTACAGGACTGAACAGTAAACCAATGTTTTCCTAAAGAAAGACACATAAAGATTCTGTCTTGCCACTGAGCAGGGGAAGCAAAACAGAAGACCATTAACATTTATGCTTCACCTTTGGACACATCCCTGTTATTTGACTGTACCAGTTTTTGCAGCTCTCAATACTGCAGTAATGTTATTACAGTAAAGGAGTAGACAAGAAAAACAAGAAAGGAGGCAGGAAAATGGATATCACTCACAATTTCATTATAAGTAGGGTCAGTGCTTTTTGGAACTGCTTTTGTTTTCTTCCTACTGACTTCATTGGGATCTGGTAAAAGATAAAATTCAGCATGTGCAGTTGGGGGAGAGCCATCTGGGAGATGCTGAAAAACAAAAGGGTTATAAATATGAATGCCTCAATTTCTATCAAAGAAAACAAATAGAGAGGGACTAAATTAAATCTGGACTTCAAACAGGCATGAAGAGACTTATTGTATTCACAGTGCTTTATTGGTGCAAAATAGAGTTCTAATCAATGGAAACAACAGAAATATATGAAATTCAACTTCATACGGTGCCAGAAAAAAATTAAGTAATACACAAAAAGAAAATACTGCCCATCTTTAATGTTTTTAGTAGCAATGGAAAAACCTTTAAGCATCAATCTGTTTTAACTTGTTTTAAACTGATATATAATCTATCCCTTACATTTTCCAAGGCAATGCACAGGAATTGGATTTTATCTAGAGAGCTTCTATTGATTTTAAGACATAGGAAATGGACCAGTTCCAATGTTGATACTGGGGAGAACAGATGATTCCAAGGGTGTCTTACAAAGGGTATTCATGCAGAAGGTCCAAGAGCCCTTCCAGCAGTGGTATGAGCAGAATGCTATTCTTACATAAAAAAAATTCTGTCCCATTCTGACCTTCACACAGATGGAAGCCTTTAATCCTCCATGAACACTACACTTTCTGGGTGTTAGCTCATGATCTGCTTGTTGAGCCAGGAATTAGCAAGTGCAGGGAGGTGACATGCTAAATGAAAGAGGAGAGCCACAGAGACCAAGGAGGGTGTGCTGGTAGAGAAATGGATAGGGATAGAAAGAACTGGACATTGGGAAGGGCCATTGAATACTGTGGAAATAGTACTGTGAAGGGGCATTTTGTGGAGAGATCACGAGAGTCAGACTTGTAACTCTGGAGAATTAACAGAGTCCCTTTAAAAGACCAAATTGTATTGGAGATCAGTGATACAAAGTTCAGGAAAAAGTTGTTAGAAAATATTGAACTCACTTTGGAGCAAGCAATTAGACTTTGCCAGGCTTTGTTAGTTATGAATATCAGACTGCAGAAGCTGGAGGACCAGCCAACTGAACTGGACAGGATTACAGAATCACAGAGGCCCAAAGAATTGCACAGACAGCACAGTGCAGAGAACTTCGCTGCAGAGCAGATCACCAGAAGCAAAAGTGAGTTGCTTAGAGATATAACACTTTCCAGTGTCCACCATTTGAAAAGTGCTGCACAAGTCCAATAGAGTTAACCATTTTGCAAGAGTTGCATACAGAAACAGGATGGACATCACAAAAAAACATAGTGCACAACTTATGCAATGAAAAGGTGGAGGAATTCTTCACTGGAATGCTGAAAGAAAGTCAGTTTATCTGAGGATTGGACATTCACTTTGGCGATAAACAGACTGGTGGTCATTTTTAAATTGGATACAGAGGCACAGGCTAACGTAACATCATTTTATTATTGAGGGAATAAATTAAACACATATGCGAACTGTTAAGCAGTTTACTATGGTAAAGGTTCAGTTCATAATTGTTCCAATAAAATTGGTGCCTATTATTGGGTTTAGAAAATGTAAGACTTTGAATTTAATTGAAAAAATAGATTCTCTTGAGAGGCCTGTGTACAGCCTTATAGAAGAACAGCTTTCTGATGTTTTAATGGCATAGGAAAACTGTCAAATGAGTAGAAGATAGAACTTATTAAACAAAACACTCTCACTATTCATGCTCCTAGGAAAGTCCCTCTTCCTTTAAGAAACAAACTTGAAGAGGAACTAGGCAGATTAGTTGTTTTGGATATAATAGGGGGGAAAAAAAGATGTACCAACAGCTTAGGTTCATTCCCTGGTCACAGCAGAAGAGGAAGAGGGATCTTTAAGACTGAATCTAAACCCTAGACAATTAAATCAATGCATCAAAAGGGAGCACTGTTCAATTCCTGCCAGAGAGGAAAATTTTGGAAGCATGGTAGAAGCTAAATATTCCTTCATTATCTGGGTTTTGACTAGGTCCCTTGGGGAAAAAAGAGCACTAGGTTATGTGCCTTCAATACACCTTTTAGAAGATCTTGCTTTTGCAGACTTCCTTTTCAACTGTGTTCCGCACATCAGGCAGCTCCTACGTCCTATCAAGTTGTCACCCTGGAGGAACAGATGTAATGGAGAAACAGAAGACACTTACAGTTTGTGGTAGGAGAAAGAGAATGAGCCTCCTAAGACTCAGAGACTGAGATGTGCCGACAGAAGGAACAATTTTTGCTGGATCTGGTCACAGAAACCAGTTTATACCTGTGCCCAAACACAAGTGCATGGCTGCAAACAGCTTAAAAATGGGTGAAAATCTGACCCCTCACTGCATGAGGTATTGGATAAAGGGAGGAATGGGTATATTACAGCTCCCCTCAAGATGTTGGGGGGCTCCAATTCACCCAGCCCACCCTTCACCACCAGCTGGGGAGCCCCAAGTATGAGCTGTCTCCACTTCCTTTCCCACCTTCCCATTCTGAAAACAGGGAGCACTGGCAGAGACCTATGGCCATTGCTATGAGAACCTGGCTGCAGGCTCCCAGCCCCCAGCTAGATTCCCCTCCCTCCTGAAATCTGCAGTGAACTGCTGTTTGTTCTGTGGTAACATTGTATCCCAGAGTGCTTTGCAAAAATTGTTCTGAGTTACAACTGGGAGCTGCACTTTTGTCTGCACCCCTACTAGACAACAAGATTGAAAGGGAGATATCAGTGGAAGAGGCCATAACAAGGTCTGAATCAATGAGAACTGAGAAAACACAGATGTAGCACAGATCTAGTAAAGTCCACAAAGAATACTTGAGACCAGCTAGAGCTGTAATATATCTTTAAACTTCGTATGCTTGTACCTCTCATTATGGTATTTGGATATACTTGTTGTAAAAGGGGAAGATGTGCAGCTGTTACAGATTTGCATATTGTTACATTTGCCCATTCTGGAAGTTACGTGGGGGAGGAGCAGAGATCTCCCTGTATCTGTACATGTGCTAGCTGGGGCAGATAGCAGTAGTTTTCCTGTTATTGTTCTTTTCAATGAACTGTCTTATAGTTTCTGGACTTTGGCTTTCTGACTTCTTCATCAAACTTGATCAAATATCACAAAGATTAATGGACCCCTAACCACCTTGCATCTTTTCCTCACCCGGAAAAAGAGATGAACTTTTAAGCCTAGCACAAGGGCCAAAATATTTTAATTACTGTATACCACAACACTTAAGCATTCCAGGACCCCTGTAAAAGGGTGGTGTGTTCTTTAAGAAGGGACAGCCAGGGTATTAAAGATGTTCAACTGTGGGGCATTCTGTTAATGAAGGAGTGTCTCACTGAGAGCTTAAAACTAGGGATGTGTGAAGCTTTGGTCCCTGATTTGATTCGGTGGAGTTTTGGCCCGATTTGGTGGCTGAATTTCCAAATCGGAATCAAATCAGGAGACCCTTTAATCTCTCTGAATCAAGTCGGAGCCCTCTGAATCAATTCAGAGAGATTCAGAAAGATTCAATGACTCAGATATAGACACAGCTTTAAATGTTTTTTCTACCTACCTCAAGGTACCAGAGAGCTCATGAATGCTGTGATACTGGGGCACATGGAGTGTCCCACAGGAGCGCAGGGGGCTCCCCAGCATGCTCAGCAGCAGACCCAGAAGTGGACCACAAGCACTTCTAGTCCATTTCCGGGTCTGCCGGGGACCATGCTGGGACCCCCTGCCCACCTCTCCGGCTTGATTACTGGTGCCTTCTGTGTCTGGGGGTACCCAGGGTCCCCCTATGGCTGATCACCAAGCTGTGGGGTGCAGGGGGGGCCCCCAGCATGCTTGGCAGTGGACCCAGAAGTGGGTCCACTTCTGCATTTGCTGCCAAGCACAGGCCCCCCTCCCCCCCATGCATCCGTGCTCCTGTGGGATGCTCCATGCACCCCAGCATTGCAGCATTCATGAGCCATGCCTGGTACCTTGAGGTATGTAAAAAAAAACAAAAACATTTAAAGCTGTGTCTAGGGCTGGATCACTGTTTCTCCAAACTTGCATCAAATCTTCAGATTTGGCCATATTGAATTGGGGACAGTGATCCAGATCAATAAATTGAATCACTGTGCTTGATTCAGGCTGAATCCAAATCTGAATTGAATAGGGCCTGTTTTCCACACCCCGACTTAAAACCCCTGAGGAAAGAGCAGAAGGGAAGCAAATTGTGAGGGAATAGCTTGTAAGGAGAAGAAGCTAAACTGTTGGGGAAGAGCCAGGGCAGAAAGTAACTCTTCTCCTAATGTCTGGAGAGGATAGAGGATTTGGGTTTTTTCTATTTGTGTAATCAGACACAAAATTGTCTAAGCTTGTTTGGTTGGAACTGAACTTCCTGAGGAATTACTAGCAGAGCTAACTGGCCTGCAAAGGACAGCAGAGTAAAGGATCTAATTACAGACCCTTGTGGAAGATGCTCTGCTAGCCACTACCCATGTCCAGCTCAAGAACTGCTGCTGGTATAAAGTGTGGCATTGTAGTAGAGAGAGAAGCAAAGTTAGCAGGAAAGCCCAAAATTATTTTAAGTTTTATAAAACTAAAACACACAGAAACCATGAATCTGTCATCACAGAACGCTAATGTCATGCTCAGTGCAAGAAACTCCATGTCCTGTAAAAATGAACTGATTGCTGTTTAACAGAACCTGGGGATAAAACATCATTCCAAGACTATAAACACTAGTGACAAAGGCAGAGAGACATACTGAATTAATTATGTACATCTAATCTTCATCATAGCTTTGCATTGCTCTCTTCATACTACCATCACTGGTTTCATGTTACCTAGATTGTGCTTCAGCCATTGAACTTTCATTCATCCCCAACCACGTCCAAATACTTGGGCAGGCATTTTACCACAGTGACTGAATCACATGAAATACAGTTGTATGACTGGCTCCTTTGTAACCAGCTGAATGGACTTATGTATATAGCGCAAGAAAGAACCTCATCAAACACCACAGGAGAAAAACCCTATGGGATCTTTCCAGTGGGTAAGAACACAACTGCTTTGCATTAATGGTACCAATCAAGCAGCCCAAGC